AGATATAGACGCTATCACCTTTCCAGCCGACATCTGCGTTTTCCCACATTGGAGTGGGTTTATCGAGGGAAATCCACTCGAATGACTGTCGATAGTACTTCGTATTGAAATAATATACATACTTCATACTTCATCCAATGTCGCATATCGACACAAACTAAACTCGAGAGGAGAATTTTTCCACTAGCAAAATTATTTGCCATAGACCGGAACATATCTGGACTTGGATAAGGTGGATTCATAATAACTTCGCAACCAAGCATCCGAAGCTTATGGAGATTCAATTGATGACATATAGGTTCTTGTGTTGACATCCATACATCGAGTTTCTTTTTGCCTTTTTTAAATACGAGTAGTTTAGTTTGTGTGACGCACCGCGCACTACTTCAATAATTGGTCGACATAATCGCCCAGCAGAGCCGGTAATTCCATGAATCGGTTTGACACCACGTTGAATCTAGTGTATTATGCGGATCCTAAAAGACGCTGTGCAGAGCGTATCGAATACGCTATTGCTGCTGTGATACTGAGCTGAGCAGAGTACCGAAGAAGATCCGAATAAATCAATCCGCCATAGCGTGCAACAATCGGTAGAAATCCACTTAATGGAAGAATGCGTAAGGATTTTGGTTTTCGATAATTCAACTCAATAACAACAGCAAGAATTGGAGACCATCGACCATCAAAAGCTCATTGCACTTTCCGTGAATGGGTCCAAAATCAGATGTCCACCGATAAAGATTTTCACAAGAAAATTTTGTTCAGCAATTAAGCTCTGTTTTGGTTGAAACGGCACGTGAATAAAAAAAATTGTTGTATCTGCTGAGCTTATGTGAAATCTACGCGGATAAGCCCGAGACGATTGACCCCTTTGAAGAGAAAATTCGGAGCCGTATTGCTAAAGTTCGGTCCCAATTCCTGAAAAAGTGGATGGAATTTATTTGAGCCATAACGGCGATTACTTGCCCGAAAAAATTTGTAAATATCACGGTAAATCCTTATTTTTATAATAGAGCTAAATTATTGGCCATGATCATAATATGTGATAAAAACCGTGCCGTTAGTTCTGCTTTGTCCAAGTCGGACTAATAAGCGAAGCAAACGAAACTGATAATGAATAACTCTTGTCATCAAACAAACAGTTGTCGCACTCGGAATTTGGCTCCTATGTCACTGTTGACAGTCATACTTTGAACTCGTAGAGTCACTCATAATTCCTGTCCTGTTATATGGTCCAGAGGCATGGGCGATGTAAACATCTGATGAGTCGGCATTACGAGTTTTGGAGAGAAAAGTTCTCGAGAGCACCCCACCTCCGGCTATATATGATAGGCGTTTCCATTTTGAAGGACAGCGTTGAAGAAACAAAATGCTTTCCAAAATAAGCTATTTGCTAAGAGTGAGTTAGAAAAAAAAATTGGATAAACTTTACAAGAAATATTCATAGCAATTTCGAGCATTCACTTTATTTTTCTATGAAACTTGCATATATGCCTCAAGCAACTATAAATACTTTTAAAATACACCAAAAATTGTTCACCATTAAATAATATATAGTATATAAATTTTTAAACCAAAACAGAAAGGATACAATTCTTTTTTACAAAATTGTAACTACAATCGCAGTTTGTCACTACCAGCCCGAGTTGTAACCCTCACGTCTGACCTCCTCCACAATCACGGTACCATCCGGTCGCACACGTTCTGTAATTGTATCCACCTCAACATTACCGTAAGGTCCTTCCTTAATCACTTCAACACGCTCCGTCACCTGGCCGTATGGTTGTTGGTAGGGCTGTTGATAAGGTTGCTGGTAGGGTTGTTGGTAGCCGGGTCCGTTTATATTCTCGGTGATGTTAATATCAACATTGGGACGATCATGATGATGATGGAAGAAAGACATTTTGCGTTTATGACTTGTTTTTTATGTGTTTCTGAAAAGGACTCAACGTGTGCTCCACTTGCTAGCGACCGTTTACAACTGAGCGATAACAAACGAAATGTTAATTTATAAATATTCTAAACAAAATTCTGGTGTTACTCAACTATCTATTGTGTTGTCGAAAAGCAGATATTACTAATTAGAGCGATCGATCAAAAATTTTATCATGGGTATATTATTGGGAGCTTCTTGGAATAACGATATAACTGAATGTGCGAAGTATTAAGCCCCTACCGGATTAATGCTTTGATAAGAATATTAGGTATTCATGTCGCGCTGCGTGAGTCAACATTACTGTTTCAATGCAATGTTTACGAATGTTTTTATCGCTTTGATTTGAAATTAAGCCACACTGAGTTTCTTTTGTTTTTTTGCCGACAAAAACAAAATATTTACCAAAGGCATAACTATAAATACTGCTGGCGTAAACATTCAGGTGCTAATGCGAGGTCTCAATCCCATCACAATCTCATGTGTGTTATTTATGCGAAAAACTTTTTTTTTACTAAGAAACTTATTTCAATTGCAAAGTACAGTCGACATGGCCTTTGTAGGTGGTTCCCAGCTTGAAATCTCATACTCAAAAACGTATTATTTAGTATTTATTCTATTTAAAAGATGTGACTAACTGTTGTACACTTCATACTTTTAAATTATTTTCACTAACCCTGAACAGGGTACATTAAGTTTGCCACGAAGTTTGTAATACCAAGACGGAAACGTCGATGGCCTTGTTAAATGTAAATATGGTAAATGATAAGCGTGATCAGCTGGGTTGCTTTAGGCATGTCCATCCGGCGACTGTCCGTCTGTCGGTATATACGCGAACTAGTCTCTCACATACTCTTGTGATCCTGAGCGTACTTCTGGTCCCAAAAATTAAAGAATAAACACTAGTTATTGCAGACCTTTAGAATAATGTCACGGAATGGAAAAATACATTTTTAAGAAACTCTAGTTTGGATTGATCAATATTTTATGGACCCTGCACCAGGTTGCGTTGAAAAGTGTGTTACTATATTTGAAAGGGCAATTGTGCACTGTGGACGATAAAGTAAGTGGACGCCCTAAAGAGGCAGATTCTTATGATGCACTCTCTGCTTGGGCAGCTCGAGCCACTCTGTAAGTGTTGTACGAATACAGACGACCATCTTCTTCTGATCGAAGGCCCCTTGCGATCTAAATTAGAGCGGGTGGGAGCACAGTGCTGCTTAGGGGCATATAGTTGCCGGTTCGTCCACTGATTGTCCGGGTCAAATACCTGAGCCTGACCATGAGTGAATGAATATTTTTCACTCCACATTTGTTGAATGTGAAGGAGAGACTTGTTGTGGCCTGCGACAGTCATGGGTTGCCAAAAACTGCTCTCAATAAACCATTGTATGAGGCTGGCCTCTTTGGATGTATGTTGCACCGTCTCAACAAATGCCATGCAGGTTTTGTTAAGTGCACCTTCTCTTCATCTGATTGCCGTACAGCGTGCTGTTGCATTCAGGTTAAGAAGGGGTTTGAGTGTATCAATGTTGCATAGCAGGATACTTCTAGGTGATAGGGTCAGATGTAGGTGGCAAAACCGTAGGGTCGACAGTCTTAATGGTCGAGTGACCTATGAGTAGGGACGTTGGGTTTGTTGAGGTTAACCCAGACTTCAGATTTTGTCTGAGTCTGAGTTTTCTGCTTACGGGGGATGGACCTATGGATGAATTTTTGCATCAGAGGCACCTATCTGATAGACCGGGTTGTTTTTGTGGGACGGCATGGAAGATAATTGCAGAATGCCCGATGTACTCGGACATTAGGGAACTGGGTGATTTGGGGATTAGCTGGACTGAAGAGCGCTTATATGTTAGCGGTGTGATCTTAACTTGTCGGAATGCTGAATAGTTAGGGTTACCAGGTCTGACCAGAGTTAAATCTGGTACCATGGGGAGCACGAACCCTTGGAGTTCGTAACCTGCTCATGCGGACTGGCCCCTCGGTGAGTATCGTGGTGGTTGTAGTTAAAACCCACATTTAAAAAGAACGGATACTTTGCCCGTGGAATGTGGAGTTGCATTGCAACCGACTGCCAGAACCAAAGTACGGCCGAAGATTTATTTAGATGGACCTCGAACGCTACCAAGGTAGATAGAGTCTGTCCGTTCCACACTGCCAATTGGTACTGAAAATGCCAGGCATATTCAGGACGCTGATCTACGCATTGATTTGATACGCAGTGCTCTTGAGAGTCGTGGGGTAAGACTATCGTCAGCAGGTAGCCACGATAAGCACACCGGACGTTGTGCTTTGGTACACACGATATAATATTAATCGATTATATTCAAAAGAGGAAAACCATTAACAGCGAATTTGACATTGCTTTATTGCTGCATTTGAATGAAAGAAATATCGAAAAAAGACGGTCTTGTTTGAATAAGAATAAAGTGCTGTTTCTTCAAGACAACGCATCGTCTCACAAATTAATGAATACGAACTTAAGACTTCAGAAATTGGACTTTGAATTGCTTCCACATGCACCGTATTCTCCAGATGTGACCGCCAGCGACTATTTCCTGTTCTCAGACCTTAAGAGAGTGCAAGCTTGAAATAAGTTTAGCAATATTACAGAGATAGTCGCAAAAACTGAGGCTTCTTTCGAGCCTTAAGCCAATTGTAGGTGTTATAAAAAAGGTACTGAAATATATTTGGACCACTACAATCAATTTATCGCTCTCGAAGATATCTATATTGAACAATGATAATCAAACTTTATTAAAATATGTATGTATATCATATTCAGAACAATAGTCTTCAGATTTAACCGACAACTCATTATAAAATCAAATGACAATATCTGTCTTATATAGAGATTCTATAGATCATGTATGGCCCTCAACTATTCAATATGTTTTCTAACTAATAACACATAAACCTAATCATACAAATTATCCACAGTGCAAAATGTCTTATGAATTCTTCACAGAAAATAGCTGATAAAAAGACGATTTTTAAACACTTTTGAAAAGTTTCACATTCTTTAAAACAACAAACATCTCTTTATTAAATAAAATAAATAACCTAAAATTATTAAACAATTTTATTGAGAAACAATAAAAAACAGCACTTAGTAGAATTTGAAATGAAGTATGTACATATGTGGGTCTTCAATCAGTTTTTCACTGTCACTGATTTTCACGTGACTACGCTCAAGCATTTCAGTGCTACCAACGCGGATTGGGCGGGTTATTGTAGTGTCGCGGATAGCCGTAGGTGCCAGCGCCGTTATTATAACCGCCATTATTGTTGTTGTAGTATGGTGCTTGCGGCGGAATATATGGCGGAGGCGGTGGAGGTGGTGGCGGATAACCGGCAGCATTACCTTGAGTCATAACTACGATCTCGGTCCGAGGCGGCGGCGGTGGAGGAGGCCGATTAAAGAACGCATCGACAATTCCTCCGGGAAAAATATCAATCTCAAAACCTGGACGACGATCGTTATAATAAGGGCGATTGCAATATGGATCTTCATAGTATACTATCGGTGGCGGCATGACACACAATTAAATTCAATTCAACACTAAGAAATCCAAAAACTCTGCCTTTTAGAGGCGCACTGCAGCGTACGCGGTTCGAATGCCAGCAGCTATCGTTTGCTGTGGGACGTCTATTTGCTGAAAGCGTTGCGTTGAAACTGCCAGTTCGATAGCGTAATTGTTTACATATAACCAAAAGTGTAAAAACACTGATTTGAGGTGGATTACTCAGGTGCAAACTAAAATAGGCACAAATAAAAATCGGGGACTCTTGGCGGCATTAATTGTGAGTCAGTTTGTTAAGTTATGTGGCCATGGATGTTGGTTTATGCGCACCAAATATTTTTGATAAGCTTAGACAAATTATGCCTGATTACTTTTATCAATGGGAGTGATGGTGATAGTGCGAACTTTTGCACTGAAGCTTAAATAAATGTTAATGGATATTGTCAGGTTGATAAAAAAGATAGAAAAAGAAACCCAGTGAGGTAACCTACACAACGAGTTTTAGGATGAAAAGAATATGAAAAAGAGTTGCCACCTGTTTAACTAATTACTGTAGTGAACAACTTCATTTCTACTGGGTGTCCGACAACAAAGGCATCCAGGGCATTGAAATAGTGGACGAGATTGCCAAGAATGGTGTACTGCGAGCATCCGTAATTGGGAATATTTAATGACATTGGGAAACCCATGCATTGTCTATGCGACGATCTCGACAGAAGCATTATAAAGAAAGTAAAAACCTGATGGAACGAGCTACCTGGGAGTAAAACTACAAAAGTCATTTGCAAAACGGTAGATTGTTCAGATGGGATCACTAGCAGAGAGCTGCCCTGAATATTCGAGTGCTTATAAGGAGACTTTGTATTTTTAGGTATTTAAAAGCATGTAACCGAAGTTAATTTTTTTCTTGATTTTGAGTTTTGTTGTTAAAATCAATGCATTATTGCAATATTGATAAAATTTGTTTGATAATATATATAAGTAAAGGTTAAAAAGCCTAGTTTTGGAAGAATTGTCGATTTTTTTTCTTCTTGAAACGTTTATTCATTATTTCATTCTAAGAATTTCACTTTAATCATGTTTACTTCCACTTCAATATTTTCTAGTTTTTTTTTTTACTAAGCTAGTCTTCCAGCCACTTTAAAAAAGTACACATATTTAAAGGTTTATATTTGAGAGAAGGCCCTTGGCGCAAAGAAACACCACATAAAACTACATTTGATGACATCTATGGGTTTCAATCTATACCGGTTATATAGTACCAAATGACCGCTTTTCCCACAATTCCTTACGCCAGAAGATATTTATGATTCGTATGCATATTTTAATATAACCTAGACTATTTATAATGAACATAAAAATGCCGTCACATTATGCAATAAAATGAAAAATATTAACTTATATCATTTTTCATTGGAAACGTTAAACATTTTCTGTACAACAAGCAAAAATCATACATCGATTTGAAATTGATTTTATTTATAAGGGTTTATAGACATGTTTATGCATGCATGTATTCGGAATATTGACTTACCTTACCATGTTGATTTTCCGACCATAAAGGAGTCTTGACATTCGCCATTTACATTACGCTCCAACAGAAATATGACCCTCAAACGCGCACAAACATGAATTGAAACTATCACAACACTTTATTCACAAACACTACATAACTTAATTAATTTTAACACAACGCGCACTAACTAACGATTTGAAATTTCACAAAAATATCCACCAAACACTTAAAACACTTATTTTGCACCATAAAATAATGCTCATTAATTTTCACGTGGAAAAAATGTTTCACTTCATTTCGTTGCACATAAACTAAAGAACTTATTCATTATACTAGATGACATTGATGCTCATTTGCGTCATTCGAGAGCGCTTATCCTTCTCACCAGCGCTCATTTATAAATGGCATTTCATGAGATAATTAAGTTGTGCCATTGTTTTCGTTGCCTTTGTGATAAGTGATGAGCAGATAGGCTCTTGTCATACAAGTTACTCGCATGCGACATTTCATTTCCAATGCACGCTAGCACGTTTGATGCAACTTTTTTCCACAAACTCACTTGATTTTGTTGTTTTTTTGCAGGCAAAATTTTCAAACAGTCTTTTCGTGCAACCCAATATTTGCAACCTAAAACGATAATAAATCATTTGAATTAAGACTTACACTTTAATTGAGTAGCTGTTATTGACTAAAGTAAATTATTTTTAAGGTATTTGTTTGCATGTTTCTTTTGACTACTTTTCGCATGCAATAAAAGCGCTCTCAAAGATCTTTAAATTTAACTGGATATGTAATATGCATACCGCATTAAATTTTTTCTAACTCTTATAGTAAAAGTAGAAACTGTACAACAATGTAACGATTGGGGCTTCAAAAAAGAACCGAAATGAAAAACCAATATAAGGACTTATTACAAGTTTATGAAAAGTTGGATTAAACGTTGAAATGCTTTAATTCAAAAATTCAAAAGGAGTATAGCTTCAATACGATTATTGTACGAGTGTAATATGATCATATGGCATATAGGTACTTTTTCCGTTGGTGTTCGCTGTTCGGCCCAAATTTCACAAATAAACAAAAAGTATAGCTGTAAAGTGCCTCTCGCACAATTATAAAGAGTGAAGAAAATATAACAGCCGACGGGATACAGGATGGCAGGGCACATTTTGCGTCGAGATCTTAAATTGAAAGCGTACAAAATATAATATAGCCTGTGCAAGAACTAAAGCTGCTCGACCTTCCCAAGCAACATCGCTTCGCACTATGGGCTCTTGAAAAGTTCCAAGAAGATTCAACGTTTTCGATCCAAAGTTTGTTAATCAATGAGGCCCGTTTCTGGCTTAATAGGTATGTAAATTAGCAAAATTGCCCATTTGGGACGAAAAGCAACCTGGAGATATTCAAGAGCTGCTATTTCATCTGGGGAAACAACGGTTTGATGTAGTTTGTGTTATGGTAGATTGAGCGGTCCATATTTCTTCAAAAATGTTGCCGGTAAGACTGTAAGCGTCAATTGCGCCCGTTGTCGCGTCATGATAACCGACTATTTGATAGTGATTTCTGCGACATTTGGTTTCGACTGGACCACGCCATTTCCCACACATCATATCAATTAATGGATTTATCGAGAGAACACTTCGGTGAGCAGATAATTTTACTTTTCGGGTTGAAGTCTATGCGCACAACCCCGCTTAGATTCAGGCCTTTAAGCAAAATATCATGCGTGTCATTTGTCAGTCTGAGTTCTTGAACGAGTCATCGAAAATAGGACTCAACTGATGGACCATTTGAGGCGTAGCCGCGGCCAACTATTGACAGAGAGAATCCTAAAATAATAAATGCCAAATAATGTTCTTTCGAGTGGTAATATACATGTATCCTCCATTAAATTTAAAGTTTGTGTGATTTTTCTTTAAAAAATGAGGAACCTGGAAATGGATCACCCTTTAGTATTTTGGACGATTTTGTGGAAAAAGCTTTTGATTTGCATTTTGCTTAAGTGACCAGAATAAAATAATATTTATTTCTTTATCTACTTATTTGTGCAAAAAAAGCTTTGAGATATGGCATACTCGGACATATGTTTGTTTTGCATATGAAAAAGTGGGGAAAGGAAGAGGATGTGCTTGGATAAGAATATAAAAAAGGTATTCACGAAACACATAATTTCAGTCACTCAGTTGCTAAATGGTTTAGTTTGGTATAGCGGTTAAGCGTAAATATTATTTTTGTAGCTCATACTATTTGATATCCAACAGAATTTTTTTTATAGGCGCCAGCTCTCGATAGAAGCTAGAAGAGCTTCATATGTATTTCTATCATAAAAATGATTTTCGTAGAATTTAAGAGCTCGGAGTAGGTCTAACAATAATAGGAGCAGTCATTTTTCAAATGACATGCTCTAAGGAGTATCAGAGGTGTAAGCTGCATAGAAAAACCCACATAGGGAGCAAATGATCAAATAAAAACTCGATCATAACGATCCACGAAGACAGATAATGTAAGCTTCATCTGAGTCCGTGAGTCTGGAAAACTCTTAAAATAAGCAAAGAAACTTCCAAATCATAGCTGTCGAGTATATAATATATCTCCATCAAATTTGTCTAGTTCCTATATGGAATTATGGACTCTATTCAATGGGATTACGCTGTCGTGCACTAAATATCTGCTTAATTCGGTAGCATTACTACCAAACACAATTCATAATAGTATGGAAGTAAACAGAAATTTTTTATAAGCTTTTTACTAAATCCTCGAGCTTGAGCGCCTACGAATGACAGAACATACGCTGATAAACGATTTATGACAACTGATAACTGCAGGCTAATAGCATTGCAGACACAAATAAACAGTTATATTTTAGCAAAAACCAATATTGCTTATACTTGGTATGGGAAAAAATATATTTTATTAAACAACTGCAAGCAATCATAACTAATACATATACATATATACTACAAAAATATATATTTCACCACACCAGCTGTCTTACTAACTAGTTACTTTAAAAGAGCTCTTAAAACACTAAATTCTTCCAATTGACTTCAAACGAATTCCTCAATAACGCGGCGGATTGTGGTAGTGTGAATCAGGCCCCGGTGGTGGCGGTGGATGGTAGCCGCTGCCGTATGGTGGCGGTGGCGGCTGTGGCTGCCCTGGCACCACCACAACGACCGGCTGACTGGGCGGTGGTGGCGGCGGCGGTGAATGGTGTTGGTGGTGATGATGATGATGGCGTCGTCGCCACGGTGGTATAATTTCCACTTTAACTAATGGTCGCCGCGGCGGTCCGGGTGGTCCGCCGTGTGGTGGTGGTGGTGGCGGCGGTGCCATTACGCTAATCAATCTCTCTTACAAATGTTGGAGTGCTGTTGCGCCTTAATTGAATTGCTCGACCAGGTCTAATGCTACGTCTTAATTTGCCGCTGTCCGGTGACTTACTGTGTATGTCAGCGTAATGATAAATGAAGTAGCGTCTACTCATTAGAGTTGGTCGCAATGCGTTCACTATGTTCCCAGTTAGTTATCGTTGTGACACCTTTGTATAGGCTATATGTGAAATCAATAATCGTAAATTCAGAGATTACTTATCACGGTGCGGTGTGCGTTGCATTGCGCAGAGGTGTTGTAAAGATAAGCGCTGTGGCGGTGCTAAAATGATGTGCAAGTACTACACTCGTGTGTTGTTGTTGTTGTTGTGCCAGCAGTTGTGGATAATGGATAATATAGTGGGGCGGATCTGTGTATGTACGCATATGTGGATTAGGCTTTTATGGAAAGCACTTTTATTGATGACTCAGTTACAAAAACTTGTTGTTGAACTATGAATTGCAGTTTCCACACCGGTACTTTTTGCAAAGTTTTGTTTACGGTGAAATACAGACTCGTAAAATGGAATGAAATGGCGTTGTAACATGTCACTAAGCACCATCATCCACTCACTACGAAAGGAAAGAGTTCTTCCGAGCGGTCTAAGGGGTTATATTCAGTTGCGAATTTAAAATAATCGATTTTGTCTTGCACATATTTATCGAATGTACATATAAATATCTACATGCAAATATTCTCCACAAACTTAAAGTTGTTCCGGTAAATAGTTTGGAGATATTCGCATAGTATTCGTATGTTCAAGAATTTTTTAACTTTGTGTAATCCGCTTCCAAAACTTTAAAGACGTTTTCTCGAAACGCTGTCTACACAACCGGTGAGCAAAATTCCTCCCTAGCGGCTGGAGCCATTGATTTGGAATTTTTACACCACCTTCTTAGATGTGTGTATGTGCAAGGTGCGTTCCAAAGTAAACAGGACTTAGAAAAACAGAACAAATGTTTTTTTCGGCAAAATCAATTTATTTTATTCGAAATAGTCTCCTTCTGCTTCAATGCAACTTTTTGCACAGTTCAAAATCATGTCCAACGAGTGTTTTAGCTCGTTGGGCGGTATGGCCGCCAGTTTGCCGATGCAAGCCTTTGTATGGTCTCTACGTCTGCATAATGCTCTCCTTTCATGGGTAAATGCATTCTCTGAAAAGTAAGAAGTCGCACGGTGCCATATCAGGTGAACACGGGAGGTGGTTAATGGTTAAAATGTGATTTTTGGTCAAATAATCGGTCACCAGCGTCGATCGATAAGACGGATTCTGAGCAATTTTTGGTCGTCAGTCAATTTATGCGGAGCCAACCGTGCACACACCTTTCGAAAACCCAAATGTTCGGCGAAAATGCGATAATTCGATGTTTTGGAGAGGTTAAATTCCATTTACATGAATTTAAATTTTCTTGTAAGAAATAAATAAATATATATATATATATATATATATATATATATATATATGTATACACACACACACACACGCATATTGTGAATTGTAGGAATCTCTTGAAATTTGAATAAATATTTTTTGAAATATAAAAATCGCCTCAGACTTTTAGTGGGGCCCACTGTACAGCGTAAAAAGCAGATAAGTGCTTTTAAAGGGCGCCGCAAACAAAGCTAGATGAAGGAAAGCATGAAAATTTGTGCTTGACTTACGAGAAAGTTGCCAAAAAATTTAATGCCTTGAAAAGAAATTTGTAGAAATTCGTATATAGAACTTCCATATATTTGAGAGTATACTTCGAATTCTATAAATATTCTTCGAAATCTATTAATATTCTTCGTTAAGATTGGCGCGGTATATATTTTCGGAGTTAGGACCATATTTATAGGAATTTCTATTACTTACTGTAAACCAGTTCCCAAAATTTTAAACGCTTTTTTTCGTAACGCTGGAAAACTGCTCTGAAGGGATTGACGAATAAACTGATTGATTTGAGTTTTTTAGACGATCATCCTAAATACCTATATTGGTAATGGTCGAAATAATAAGGTTTTTGATAATTATTTATAATTTCCTAAGCCACAAAGAAAGTTAAATTTTTTTACAAAAGCAACGAATGTTTTTAGGGAGCCGCCATTATGTCAAAATTCAAAATTTTGGTTGGTCCTTCGATTATTACCTTTAATCTAGCTAAAATAATAAGTATATTTGGAAAGCAGATAATATCGAACTCAAAAATTTCTCCGCCAAACAGCTCTTTTCGGCGATCCTCTCGGAGATTGGGTGCAGGATCAAGGAAATTTTTAAAAATTAATCGCGGATTGGATATGGAAATTGCATTATTTCTCCAAAAAAAAAAGGAAAAAAGGAAAGAAAACCTTTTTTTCGTTGGAAAAATTACAAAAAAAAAATTTTTTTATTAATTTGTAAAATATATTTGGAAGTAGTAAATTAATTTTAAAATAACCGAGGATAATCAAAACAATAATTAAAAAGATAAAAAATGCGTTCAATCACAAAATCAACCAGACAAGAAAAGAAAAAACAAAAATTTTAAAATTCTAGCGGCCCCAAAACACTAGGCGATCAGACTTATGCAGTAAGCAAACGCAATTAGCAATTAATTTTTCCTGGTCACCTTAACCAATCCAGCATGCCAACAATAAATATAGGTTTCGATTCTTAATATGTTTCACAGAGACATAAGGAAACCGAGAACTGAACTAATGCTGCAAAAACAAAGAAAAGTAGTTGTTCTGATCTGCTATGCATTATGGGCGCCTAGTTGTTTATCGTTGTACAGCAGAAATTACAAAATAAATCTGGTCAAGCAGAAGAAGAAGACAACAAGCAAGTGTGCAAGAAAACAACGAAACGACTATCAGCTTGCAACAACCTACCAGGCGAACAAAAAAAGTAGCAAGAAATCCTTGAAGAGGTGTAGCATTGATCTGCCTGGATATTTTAATGCAAATGCATTCCCAAAAAAGTAACAACAAATGGAAGTTCCATATTTTTCTGTCCCTTCGATAGGGTGCAATTTCCAAAAAAGTAGCAACAAATATAAGTTCCAAAATTTTCTCTCAATTTGGGTAGGGCGTATGCATACCTTTCTCAGTTGTTGTAGCAAAAGCACACACTTTGCACTCAAACAGTGGAAGCCAGAACTGCCAACAACAAAACCATTATGATCTGCACTCAAATAGATTTGCTTGTTTTTATTATGGGCACCTGTTGACTTGCGCGATTGATTGCTTGAAAAATTCTACGAAATTAAAGGATGTGGGTGGATATTAAAAAATAAAAAAAACAAAAATTAAAACGCCACCATCAAATATTAATTTCTCTACAAACAACCAGTCGCTCATAACGATCAGCAAGTGTTCAATTTTATTGCTAATTCTTGTGTAATCCTTAATTCCGCATTTCCACAATGGCAACAACAAGCTATGTGTTTCAATTTCTCGGTTTCTTAAATGTGTAGTATTTTGCCCCGTTAGTCAAATACCTTTTGCCGTTGTTGTATTGAGCACAAGTTTAGAATGCGCACTCAGTTAGTCCACAGGAATTACAACAACAATCACTATGAGTGGCCTGCATAATAAATTCCTTGCTTTAATTTCTGTTTGCCTGGGGCAAGGCTGGCGCCAGATTATCAGTTTTAGAAAATTGTGGGATCGTAAGAGAAGGAAGAAGAAGAAAGATCACTTTCGCTGCTCATAACATGCAGTACGGATCTTTTAATGTTTAAAATTTATAATTTCAGCGTTGAGGATTTGTTTTAGAATCTAGACTCGCCTTCGTAAGGTCCAAACTGCTTGTCAACTAGACCAGAAACCCAAAATACCGGAATATAAGGGTACATAAAATAGCTAACAACGATATTTGAGTAAGACTTCGTTTTGACTAGATTTCCTTCAGCAGCTTTTTGAGCTTGGAATTTTGCGTTCTCAAGTTATCTTGCAATACTTGCCAGTTTATCAGATTTTCATAAATTATAGCAGGAAAAAAAGATAATTCAGACAGATTTATGAGATATATTAGCCATTTAATATGTTTTTATGCCTTATAAGTAATATCATATAAGTATGTATCTACATATGGATCATAATACCAGATCAATAYTTAAATGTATTTCTTATGCGCTCCCAATTGTCAGCTTGTTTCGTATTTAGAAGCAGGTGATCACAAAGCGCTTCCAGTTAGTTGGTGACCTGTCACACCAAAATGCCAGCTTCATCTCGACCTTAAGATTCTGCGCGGTCTACTAAAACGGGTGCTCAGGCTCCATATAGTGTTTTAGATATGTATAAAGGCATTTTGCCTTTCATTTTTGGTCGTGTGGAAATCAGACATACATAGGTTTACAGCTTCCTTGCATTTTTAAAGGTATTCCATATATAATATGATTGTAGTGCGCTGGTAAATCTGTGGAAAAATATTACAAATATGATTTAATATTACTCGAAMCCTTAAAATCAATCTYGCTTCACTTACTTGAACTATCACATTTCTATTCTCCTGCTCACGTACGTTACTGATCGATCACAYATATTAAATAAATCGTCATTAATGTTAGGCGAAGTTTTAGCGCAGCCATCCAAGCAGCAGTTCACATTATTTTCGTACAATACTTCCATGCTAGATATAATATATGTATGTATGTATGTTGGTACACATATTTGTCCTTTCCAATAAAATACCGTACACATTCCTTACATTTCCATTTGTCCCTATGAAAAATAAGAAAAAGAATATAGTTCAGTAAGCTGTTATTTTCTCTGTGTTGTTGCGTATTGTACTCATAGCATCGTTGGCAGTGCTAAAGAAAAAGCAATTGGAATTCGCAAAGAAAATGAGAGGAACTCACTTTTTATTTACAGTATTTGTTGCTGCATATTTGCATGCAGTTGGCTTATGTTCACCTGATGTGCAGTGACAGTGTGCTGTTAATTGACAGATGTTACTATTCACCTGTTCACACTCGATCTCTCTCACTGTCTTTCTGCACAGTTTTACGAACATGTGTAATTGGAAATATGAAATGAGAAAATTTAATGGCATACCCACAACTTTAATGTAAGTTTAAATAAGAAACAGCACGTTTTATGAAAAATAAAATTTTATATATTTAATAATATATATATATATATAATAATAATTTATTTATTAAGTAAGTTGGTAGTACTGTTAGTGATATCTATACAAAATTTCCGTCAAAATATTCATTAGTATTTAAGATACGCGTCGTTTTGTGAGGTTCTAAAGGTAAAGTCTGCGCTTTTACTATGTTTGAATTCATTGAACAAAGAAATGCGATAATGCACCATCTCATACCATATTGGTTATTTTTTTGTTCATGGTAGTCCATTTCTGCATACTATACATATATAATAAGGGTTGGTAATACGTAATACACCTAACGTGCTACTCAGTGCTTTATGATTAACAGCTAGTAGCTATGCATAATCTAATCTGTTCTAAGGACTACTATACATCATGTGGCAGCCACATATAGTACAATGTGAGTGTTAGAAAACATATTCTAAAATTTAAGATTCTACAGTTGATCGATATTTACTTACCGCTGGTAATGTGTGCAATTTATTCATCTCTAGCGGCTCACGTATTGAACACGCATATATGTATAGTGAGTCACAAATCTAGAGCCACTGATGAAATTCGACGCCTAAAAGTATGCAATAATCAAACAGCTCTGAGCCTCTGTTGGATGACATACATATATAGGTAATAAGTAAAGAAACATCTGCATATGTATACAGTTGTAGCCTAATGTATGTATAAATAAGTATACGTAGTAGTAATAATTTTAGTTGGAGAACTAAAATTAAAAGTTATTTGTTTTATGAAAAGGTTTTGAAGTATATTTCATAAATACATTTTATAATAACGCTTCATATGACACAAAAAAAAAAAAAAACAAAAAGAAATAATCATCTAGTGTACAACTTTGCAGTTACATTCGGTGCACGCAAACCTTACCTCACTTACCTAACCTTACTTTCTTAAATTTTTTTCGACCTTTTTCGTTCGTTCGGAAATTTCTTAAATTTTATTT